ACTTATAATATAAAAGAGTTCTTAGATAAGAAAATAGTAGGTTTAGAAAACTAAAAACCTCTATATATAGATATAAGTAGGGGTATAAGAAACTAAGTTAAAAAGAAAAGTAATTCTTATTATTTTAGTAAAACTAGCTAGATAGGAAACTATTAACTATTTATATAATTATAAATAACATAGCTATAGTATCTACCTTAATTAATACTAGCTATTTAACTTATTTAGTTATTTCTTTTAAGTTTATTAGAAATAATAATCTAAAGTATTTTATAATTATATAGAAACCTATTATTAAAATAAAAAGAAAGTTCTCCTAAATAAAAGTAGCTATTTAAATATAAATAGATATAGATAGCTATAAGAAAGAAATATAGGCCTATAAGCTAAGAGGAGATAAAGAGTATAACTTTATCTTAAGAAAACCCTAGATAGATAGATACTAGGTAATACTAGTACTAGTAAAGAAATTTATATTTATCTATAGTAGCTAGACTAGAATATAGAGCTAGAAAGGTAGAATACCTATAAAAATCTCTAAGGCTATTAGTATATAGGTATATTTAGCCTAGACTAAATAATTTTAAAAAGATAAATAGATCTAACTATACTTTACCTCTATAGTAAATATTAAGAAAGTACTAAAGAAAAAGAAAATAGTTAACTTCTAAAAAAAGCTACTAAGTTATTTATAAAGTAAGTTTAAAACCTTTTTAAGAGAGAAGGCTAATAAACTTATACTACTAAAAAAGGCTACTATTAACTACTTTATTAAGACTATAGAGAAGGATAGTAAGCTAGTAGAAATTCTATAAAGGCTATTATATAATATATTAAGAAAAGAACTACTAGTACTATAAAAGAAACTTATATTATACCTAAACTATAGCTTTATTTAGGTAAGTAAATTTAGTGCTACTACTTTTATTCTATTTATAAAGAAACCTAGAGGAAAGCTATAATTTTATATAAACTACTAAGCTTTAAATACTATTATATATAAGAATAGATATTTTCTTTTACTTATTTATAAAATACTATTCTAAATTACTAAAGTAAAATAGGTTATAAAGGCAGATATTATCTAAGTATTTTACTAGATATGCGTAGTAGAGAAGAATAAATAGAAAACAGTATTCTATACCTAATTTAGGCTATATAAATAGTAAGTTACTCTATTTAGCCTTACTAATACTTTTAGTATATTCTAATAATATATTAATTAGGTACTCTAGGAAGACTTAGATATATACTACTTAGCTTATATAGATAATATATAAGGGGCTAACTCTAAGGGTAGTTACTAGTATAAATTAGATAAATTTACTAAGAATCTATAGTACTAGTTTTCCTCTACTTATAGTCCTTTTAGTAGTATACCAAGAGTTTCTAAAGTGTAGGCAGTAGAGTAGGTGTTAGTAGTTAGGCCTACTAAGCTCTAAGGCTTTACTTACTAAGGTTCTACTAGGCCTAGCCTATTATATAAGCCCCCCCCTAGTAAAAATTCTTATGTTTTAACCCTACTATAACATAACGTGTTAACTTATTACTAATACCTCTACCTACGTCTATACGCGTATTTTTAGCTTTAACTTATATACGCTTTTGCCTCTCTTACTCTTCTTTATTAATATAGTTAATACTTGCGCTAGTATTATTTCTAGTAGTAAGTAGTCTACCCCTACTACCCTTACGCCTACCTAGTGTAAGAGGAAGAAGGCTAAGATAGACACTTAAAGGGCTAATCTTACTAAAGCTAAGGCTAAGCTCTCTACTACTACTTCTATATCTATATTTAACTTATTTAGTAAGGAACCTAGTGTAAGTTTTCTGTCTAAGTTTTACCTATTCTCTTACCTATTTTCTAATATTATTTAAATAGATATCTACTCTATAGCCTACTAACTACTCTGCTTCTGTAGTTAACATTCCCTTTATTAGTAAGCTTAACTCTCCTTACTATATTAACTACGCAATATATTTAGCTACTTAGGATAAAATTTATAAGTTTAATAAGGGTAGAGCTACTTACTATTACTACTCTACTAAGGTAAATTCTACTTATTATACTATAAGTCTACTAGAATTACTTTCTTCTTTTTATTTACAGCTAATATTTCTATAGATCTCTAATAAACTTAAGCCTACTATTATTTATATTTATAAGCTCTTACTACTTATTAAAATAGACCTATAGTTCTCTAAGTTACTTAAGGATATTAATAAGAACTTTATCTAGAATCTAAAAGAGGCCTAGAATAAGGCTTAAAAGCTTACTTCTAGCTAAAAGGGGTATTAGGATAATTATACTTCTAACTTAGTTACTAAGGGTTTACTCTGTAGGATTGCTAATAAGTTAGGCTTAATATATACTAGTATTTAGAAGTAGAACTAAGGCCTTATAGACTTAGTAAGTCTTTTTCTTAGTATTTAAAACCTTGTTTTCTGCCTGTTTTCTTAGCTAATCTGTAGGTTTTCTAGGCTTTTACTATTAATAATTAGACCTGCTCTATTACTTAGGCCCTTAAGAAGGTTGTTAAATTCTAGAAGTTAAGCTGCTTACCTACTAAGTTTAATCCCCTACTACTCTATAGCTACAGCACTAGTGTTTTAGCTTCTAGTTCTTTTAGTAGTAGCCTTTAGGCTTCTACTATTAGCTCTTCTAATTATCTTTTCTAGTCTAGATAAAAGGGTTTAGTTCCTGTTATTTTTAAGTATACTGTCTTCTAGAAACTTAGGGCTACTAGTAATAGTAAGCCTAATAGGTATATTAATAAGTAGGAGAATAGTTTCTAGGCTATAAATACTAATTAGGAATAGGTCCTACTAGCGTTTTTCTAGGTTTTTTAGCGTTTATAGGATAGATACTCTAGATATTTACTAGCTCTAGGCTAGTTAGTCTCTTGCTATTTCTCTCTTCTCTCTACTATATATAGGTAGTTAATTTTATCTTTATTAACCTACTTCCTTATAGCCTCTATATTTTTTGTTTTTTCTTAGCTGCCTATGTTCTTAGCCCTAGTAAGGGTACTTATTAGTATACTACCTATAGTTTCTAGTAGTACTATTACTAAAATTACTACCTCCTTTACTACGCCCTACTATTACTAGGGCCCCCAGTATTATTATAGTTTATTAGGGAAACCCTTATAGAACTCCTTTAGTAGTTTACCTATCTTATTTTATTTATCTTCTAAAAAGGCTAACTAGCTATTTAGCGCTTTAGCTTCTTTAAGGTTTTCTATAGGTTTCTATAAAGTTATAGTGTAATCCTTCTACTTAACTAGGTATTATTTTCTATATTCTCTACTACAGTGTTTTTATCTTTTACCTATAATTTCCTTAATTTTTTAGTAGTTTTCTAGTTCTCTATTAACATTTTCTAATATACTCTTAGGTTAGTAATTATTAGTATCTTATCCTACTAGAGGGTTTCTAGAGTATAGCTATAGCCTATCTA